ACCTTTGACCTCCATAGACATGTGTATATGCACACACAATACAGAGAGAGAAATCTGAATAGGCCTTCTCTATTACACACAGCCCATGATACTGAACTAGCTGACTACAGGCCAAGAATCAGGTAGTAAGACCTCTGAAACTGAGCCAAAATAAGCCTTTCCTTTATAAAATTGATTGTCTCCATGATGTTTTGCCACAATGGGAGAAAACTGACATAGCCCAGTTTGGAGCTGGAATGGTTTGTTATGGTTTGTTCAGGGCAGTGACTATAAGTCTGGGGTTTGGGTGCAGTTTGACATATTTGGGTAAAACCTGACCCTGTTGCTTACATGTGTATGGATATGTAGTATGCTAGACATACTATCCTGAACCATTTTCTTTTGTTGTATAGATTTTAAAAGATACGGCTTTTCATATGTAGGACATAATTAAAATATGTGACTAATAATACAAATTTGCTTTGTTTTCAGTATCATTATTTTACTAAGAGTTAAAAATGGCAGTATAATCATATGCCCTGTGTGTGTGTGTGTGTGTATGTGCATAGGTGTATACATGTGTGGAATGAAGACATTGGGTGGCTTCCTAGTTTTATGTCTCCCTTAGCTTTTGAGACAAGGTCTCTCACTGAATCTGACTTTCGCAGATTTGGCTAGACTGACTGGACATCAAGCCACAAGGATCTTCACACTGTGGCATACACATAACCACACTCAGACATACATGCATTCCCTAACACACATGTACACATACAGAAAGACTAAAACATATAAGTAATAAAAAGAGAAGGTGACAGGTCAAGAGCAATGTGTGTTAGTTACTGTGCTGCTGCTGCTGGAATAAAATACCATGACCAGAAGCAACTTGGAGAACGTAAGAGTTGGTTTGGGTTTAGGATTTGGGAGTCATAGAGTTCATCATGGTGGAGATGAGCAAGGAAAGTGTAGAGGAAAGAGAAGCCAGGTGAGGTTATAAACCTTCAAAACTTGCCCCCTTGTGACATACTTCCTCCAGCAAGGCCTCTGCCTCCTAAAGGTTCCATGACTTCCCCAAACAACACCACCAGCTGGGGACCAAGAGTTCAAATACATGAGCCTATGGGGGACATTTCTCAGTGGAGTCACATCATGGTGTCACTTTAAGTGTTAGAAGGGCTTTGCCATTTTCTCTGTATGAAAAGAGAGTTTTGAGCAGAGACACCCCCACCCCCAAGGGCCCCCAGGTTAGACAGTCACTAGGGAGCTGTGAACTGTTGACTGAAGGGTTTAGGTTGCATACCAAGGTCTGTTTTTATCCCACATTGGACTTTTTCTCTTTGTTAGTGAGACTCAGTGCTAAGGCAGTGACCTCTAGAGGCCACCAAGCAAACAAGCCTTTTTCTCTTCAGCTCCAATGAATCTTGGTCTCACAGCACGGGATTTCCTCTAGCAGGGAGATGCCTTCCTGACTCTCCACTCCAGGAAAGCTTCTTTGAGAGCCAAGTGTCCCCTTTTTATCCACAGACTCTGTTGGCTACGCACTGTCTTTTGGGTAGCTCCTGTTAGGGAGACACTCAGAGGTAGCTGAGTGAGCCTCCCTAGCAAGGCTAGAGGCTGCCCTGGTTTGCCTTCTGTTGTCATTAACACGGTGACCAAAAGAAACCTAGAAAGGAAAGTGTTTACACTTTATAGTCCATCCTCCAGGGGAGCCAAGGCAGGAACTCCAGAGAGCAGCTGAAAGCAGTAACAACGGAGGAATGCTGCTTTCTTATATAGCCCAGGCCCACCTGCCTAGGGAGGGCACTGCCCATGGTAGGCTGGTCTTTCTTACATCAATTCACAATTAACAGAATGCCTTACAGAATGGCTACAGGCCAGCCTGATCTGAGCATTTCTTCAGCTGGATTGAATCTCTCTTCTCAAATGACTCTACATTTGTGTCAAGTTGACAGCTAAAGCTAACCATGATCTAGGTGGGCTCTATGTCCCCTCCACTCCTTGTATCCCTAGCTTCATATTCACCCACCTTCACTGAAGAAAATCCTTTGTTGTGTTATATGTTTATAAGTCATTAGAATTGGGCAATCTTCAAACCCCAGCATTTTAAAATGGAGAACAAGAAATTTAGTTCAAAGTTTAGGGAAGTAGTATTTGATTTTTGGTTCCATAAATCATATATATGTACCTACACACAAACACTCATCTGTGCAAACAAACACACAGAAAAGAAGAACATGTGTGTAGTTAAACCAGGAATAGCTGCCACGTTGCTAGTGAGTCTATCCCAGCTGGCTACTTCACTTTATGACATGGTGCTATGAGACCACTGGATGGTCTGAAGTCTGAAACTGTACTCTCTAACCCTTAACCTCTGACCTGACTTAATGGCTTCGATTGATTAATTGATGACTGATGGACCGATTTGCACAGTCTGAGAAAACAACAAAGATGGGGTATTTGAAGATGTTTTTGCTGCTCTGGATTTTAGTCTTTCCAAGCTGCTTGAGTCACTATCAAAACCTTAGGTCAGACAATGTAAAAAAAAAATCTGAATATTGCCCAGGTGTTATTTGTGTTAGCTTTTCATCTGTGTCAAAATACCCGAAACAAACAATTGAGAAGTAGGAAAGATGGATTTGGGCTGGGAATCTTGGAGGTTTCAGTGAACAGTCATTTGTCCCTGCTGCTTCAGACTCAGTGCCGTGGTGAATAGTGTGTGGAAGAATGAAGCTGCTTACCTTGTGGAGGCTGGGAAACGGAAAAGAGAGGACAGGGGGCTGGGGTCTCAGCATCTCCTTCTAGAACATTCCCCCGATGGCCTGGCTTACGTCCATAGCGCCCTGTCTGTCAAAGTTCCACCATTTCCCACTGGTGCCACAACCAGGGACCAAACCTTCGACATGTGAGCTTTAGAGGGACACTGAAGATACAAATGATAGCATCTGATACTTCCTGTTTTAATACCCACCCCAACACTGATGTTGCATATTCAACACTTAATTGATTATTATACTTAAAACTTGAAAACAATAACAACAACAACAAAAGGCAAATACATCTTGGCTCTTTTAATCTCAAACCATTTTTTCATTTCTAGAAAGATAGTTCTTTTCTGTTGTATTCTGGCTACTGCTTCTGACCAGGGAGTTGTCTGTCCCTTCTTTTATTCCTCCACTGGGTCTCTGTGATCTCTCCATTGCTGTTTACTTGCATTGTGTTTCCTCTTTCCTCCCCCCCACCCCCCCTCTGCCCTTTTGAAGCAATGTCTGTTGAGATTCAGCTTTCAGCCATGTTAGCCAACCTTCCATCAGTTTGGGGTGACTGGGTTCTCAGCTTTCCAGGCCTCTTTCATCCTGTCTACCTCCATTCTCATGTCTGCCTGTTCTGGTTAATAATAACTATATAAATACTCTTCAGCAAAGTAGGAACATGCTTTCTGAAAGATCATCTCTTGCTCACAAAGTTGAATTCTCTTCAGATGACAATGCTTTCTTGGAACCCTTAGCATTTTCTCCTTCTTCCTTTGTGAGTCGGGCACTCCCACCTCGAGACTGTAGGTTAATTTTTACTTATTGTTAAGACAGTTCTACACTGTTCCAGTTAGAGCCCTTTCTGTGCAAGGGGAGGGTACCCAAGATTCACCCTGGGGGGTCTCTAGTGCATCTCCTGGAAGGCTTCATTTCGCCATGCAGATTTAGACTTCCTTCACTGCCTCCCTTGAGGGGAACAGAGTAACATGTTCACCCCATGCATGCAGCTGTCAGCTCAGTCTACTGTGCTCAGTACCATACCTGGCACTTGGGGTGCTTCTGAAAGCATGAGAGAGGAAATCTTCTAGAGTGGGTGCCCCAAAGCTTGCTGATGGCATTTGGTGAGTAGTTCTCCAGAGTAGTGGTAAAGGTGTTAAGGTCCATGGCTGATTTGGAATTTTTTTTTCTCCAAAACAGGGTTTCTCTGTGTAGCCCTGACTGTCCTGGAACTCACTCTGTAGCCCAGGCTGGCCTCAAACTCACAGAGATCTGCCTGCCTCTGCCTCCTGAGTGCTGGGATCAAAGGTGGGCGCTACCACTTCTCAGGTGATTCGTAATGTTTTTATCACATGACTCTGAATTAGACAGAAATAGGTTGATCCTTGAATAAAGGAAAGAAAAGACAAAAGAAAAAGCTGGCGGTGGTGGAACTTCTCTGTAATCCCAGCACTTGGGAGGTAGAGGCTGGAGCCTCAGGAGTTCAAAGCCAGCCTTTACTATACAGTGATTTTTGTGGCCAGCCTGGCTACATGACACCATGTTCCTGAAAAACAAAACCTCAAACAATTAATTGACCATTGTCCCTCTCCACTTAGAAGCTGTAACTTTTCCATTAAAGAGAGGCTACAGATACAAAAATCATTGACATCAGTGAAAATGGAATTATTAAAGTTTTGAATCCTGAAGTGGTAAAGTGTGGTATCTTACTGATCTGTGCTTATTTTTTCTCTTTCATTTTGCTTTTAATTTGGGGAAAATATAAAATATTGTTGAATCTGGTAGCTCTCTGAGCCATGATCTTTATTCTATCAGGGTTGAAAATAAAGATTAAAAAGATTCATCAAAGGCATAAGGTGATCCGATTTATGCTTAATCTGCTCTTCAGCATGAGGGTTATCCTGAGTGACCACAGTTCCTAGTATTTTTCAGAAACCCAAATTCTGCCTGACTACTGGGCAGCTCAGAAACGGGGCTTTACAACCGACCTCACTAGAGGAGACAATCCCCCTTAACATAGGCCCTCTCTCCTAGCCCCTCCCCTTCACGTGACTTCAAACAGCTCACATTTAACAAGAAAGCCCATTTACCAGCTAAGATTAAATCAGTGGAGAATAAAAATGAAGCGGCCGGTCCAAGGTACTGGAGCATTCATCTTCTGTAAGGCCTCCACAGCCCTTGGAACAGACATGCGTGGCTGTAACTCAGACACCAGGCTGTGAGCATGACAACCAGGCGTTGGAAATAACACCTCTGTTTCATTTCTCTTTCCAGGCTTGAGATTTTTAAGAGCCCTCAGACTGATACAGTTTTCAGAAATTTTGCAGTTTCTGAATATCCTTAAAACAAGGTAAGATATTCCCCCCGCCACCCTTGTCTGTTTCCCAAGGGCCAGGTTGTAAATATCAAGTATATTTGCTTTTATCATGATAAAAAGATAGAGTTGTGCTATTCACCGGAAGAGTGATATATCGTAGAGCTGGAGAGCTAACCTACTAAGGTGGGGCCTTGCATTGTTCTCTTCTTCAGGGCCAGGGAGAGATCTGAGGAAAGAGAAGATGTGGTTATGCATCTGGGGGGGCAGGGGGAGACAGTCTGGCAAAGTCACATGGCTGGTATCTGGGTACCAAGTGAGGTTGCAAGATAAGCATCATCGTGGATGAAGGATGGATTTGCTCATTGATTGGGAAGTCCTTGCTGCCAGGTCCTAAACACTCCTTTAGTTACTACTAAACAAGACATCGAACTCGGCCATAAAGGCCAGAGAAGCAGTGCTCTCTGACAGGCAATCACAGAGCTCGTCCGGCAAACAGAAAATCATTTCATTTCTAAGTCTATTTGAGCTGTTTCATTTTATATCCATAGAGCCCTTGGGGTGTGCGCTGCAGATTGCCTTGTGGGGGAAACCCTAAAAACCTCCAGGCAAATGCACTGTGGCTGCTTCTGTTAACTTCATTATGATCTGGCCAGGAGCAGAAATCCCCTAGGGAATCCCCTGCCTGGTGGTGACTTGTCGGTGCCCAGAGCTGGCCTGAACCCCAGGCTGTGCTGATAAACACACCAGTGAAAGGGTTAGGTGCACTCTAATGGGGAGTGAGTGCAGCTCATACATTTCTCTACTAGGAAATTACATTTTAAGAAGACTTCTTCTAATGTTCCATTTCCTCTTTGGTTGGCCTTAATATGTCTGGTGAGTGACAGAAAGCAGGACACCACTGTATCGTGTCATGTATAATTAATGTACCTGCCATTTGAGGTCTTGGATTCCATGTTGGTTTCCTAGTCATGAAATGTGGAACCTGGCTTCTAGAATCTGATGGGTCCAACAAGTGTGCCTCTGTTTTGCTATTGTTTCTTATTTTAATTCCAAATTAACCCCCCTTTCCAGCTATTCCTCGTTATCAATAAGAAATAAAAATTCACTTTCTATAGACAGGTCAAAATGTAAAAGAGCCCTCTTCAGGTGTGCCCTATCCCTTTATATTTTATCTTCTGAGGTAAAGATTTATTGCGTCTCTATTTTTTTTTTTTTGCTTTATAATATCATTCATAGATAGCATTTTTTAAAAATTTCCTTTAAGCAATAGTAGCCTTGTTTTACCTTTTTATAAATCTTTTATGCAATAGGCTTATATTGCTTTTGGAACAGAAACAATTAACAAATCTAGCGTATTTATCTAGGCCTTTTAATCAATTACTAGCACTAGGGAGGCAGAAGCAGGTAGATCTCTGTGAATCTGAGGCCACCTCGGTCTACATAGTGAGTTCCAGGCCAGCCAGGGCCACACAGTGAGTCCTTGTCTCAATAAAATAAAATAATCTAGCATATCTAGTATGGACATATGCTGAACTTGTGTCGCAGGCTGGTTATGTTTTTAACCCTAGGGGGAGTTGGTGAGAGTCCAGTACCAAGCTTGTCCTTCAGATTTATGTAGCAGGGTGGGCGTGGGGTGGTGTTCTACTGGAACCATTCACACACTCCCACGTGCTCTCAGGTCTCTTCCTATTTGTCACTTACCTCATAAATTAGTGAGACTTTCATTCTATGATACTGGGATTCTAGGAAGATTCCAGTCCTCCAGGCAGTCATGCAGATAGAAGGGTGTTCTTACCCTCCTCATTTGCATACAGTTCCTTCCCGCAGCATGTGATGTACCTACCATCTGGGTATCTTTACCAACCCTGTGCTAGGGCATTCACCCATTGCCCACTCCTCAGCAAAGACGGCCTTTCCTTGAGATCCCGAAGTGGGATCTGGCCACCCTGGAGAATAGCCTCATCATAGTTAGGTAGTTATGATGTTGCTTCATTTTCTAAGTGAAGGAGGGGAGAGTGGAAGCTGCTGGCTGAGGGAAGAGGTCGGTGCGCTTCTCGGAGGCGGAGGCAGCAGTTTTCCAGCAGAGCCGCAGCAACCTAGCCTGCAAATGGTGTTTTCTCAGGACCCCCACTTCCCACACAAGCTATTCCTACTCTCAGGCAGTCTTTCTTCAGAACCCTACAACGTGGGTGTCCTGGGTTCCTATTGTTTGCAGTTACAGCCATGTGGCTGTGTGAGCCCCAGGAGCCTAAAGCAAGCATCTATGCCTGTAAAAGTTAATGTGTATGATGAGTGCCCCAGTGAATCTCGTGACAAGAGGCCTCATGGGAAAGGGAACTCCAGACCAGATTCCTGTCAGAGTGGTCAGTGTTAAAACAGGAATGGGCCCGGTCTCGGGGGCACAGAGGGTCACCGCACTGGGCCTGGCAGGAGTTAGGCAACAGCAAGGGTCTTTCCAAGGTGAAGAGGGACATCTTAAAAAAATTAGGTCTCTGTCATTCTACCGGGGCTGGAGGATGGTCACAATAAGGGTAGGGAAGATGGGCTGAGTTCAATCAAGATATTTGTAGAAAGCACACAGTGAGAGAACATGACATCTGTGGGACCTTTGAGCCACTCTCCTGAACATTCTATGGTTGAGAGAAGTGGGGTGAGTTCAGGGTAGGGAGGCCAAGGCCTAGTCTCCAGGCCCAGAGAAACACTTCCTTCAGCCACGGGAACTTTCGAAGTGTTGGGACACCTTCTTTTGGGGTGCTCGATTATGCCCTGCTTCTCCCTTCCATCACTCCAAGCCTGTTTCTCAAGGCTCTGTACAAGAAATGAATTCCTGGCTTTCCAGGGCTTTGGCCTTGGTGGATTCTCTTGTGAGTTCTGTATGCTCAGATGCTTTCACAGTCACCTTCTGGTAGGGGGTGGGGAAGCTGTGTCACGGTTAAGGAGGTTGTGTCTGACTTTGTCTAGTGGTGAACCCCTGCTGACCTGTGGTATTAGGGTAAGGAAGGAGGCTTTACAAATGCCATGGACACAATGCTTTGAAAAGCATGGCTTTATTTTCTATTCTTCCATTGCTTCACTCAGCTCAGAACCAACCAAAAGAAATGGGACACAGAAGTAAGTGTGAAGGGGGAGGGGTGCAGAATTAAGAGCACAGCACAAGGGACCAGAGTGAGCAGGAGGACAGACAAGGGACACTGTATAGCCAGAATCAGGGCAAGTGCCCAAACTGTAAGTCAACAGAGGGCCCCAGGCACTCTGTGTCCTGGGATGGCCTACTTTAGGCAACAGAGATGCAGGGTCATTTGTGTGAACCTTTGGACATTCCTCAGTCATCCTGCAAGCTGGTGACATTCAGCAGCAGCTTTCAGAGCTGGGCCATTTGCTCTACCATGAGCACCAAGTACAACCTGCTTAAGGGCTTTAATCCCACATCCCGTTGAACATGGTCAATAATGTTGATTAAAACAAAACATGGCTTACCCGGTACATGTTTTTTACAAGATGAAAATCACCGTATTGTTTCCTCTGATTGTTTGAGTAACATGTGCTCCCTGTGAACATTTGTACCATTTTACGGAAGAGTGTAAAGGGTGAAGTAAACACTCTATACCCTGTGCTGTGCTCAGGCAGCCATTTCTCTCTACCTTGCCAATTTTATCTCCTGTGCAGCCTGTGTGCACACCCACCCCACCCCAGGTACTTAAACTAAACATTTAGGGAACATTATTGAAATTAATTTTACTACATATATGACCTCAAAAATGGCTCCAAGGCCGTCTATGAAGCAGGATATTTGCTATGGTGATTACAAGGGGGGTGAGATAGAAGCCACACCGTGAAGTCACTTCCATTGATGGGTTATTTGGAGAGCAAGATAGAGCTGTTGAAGGATTTTGATTAGGAGAGATAGTATGGACACTTAGCATTCTAAAAACCCACATCTCCACTTGTTGTATAGAGTTGGTTGAAATATCTAAGACATCATAGATCTGAAGACCAGGAAGGAACAGTAGTCCAGGGAAGGCCTGGTAGGGCCTAGCCTCGGAGCAGGTCAGGTGGACGAGAGGAGACTGGTATAGAGCCAACTAAGAGACAGACTTGACACAATCGATTTTGCTCCATTTTGTATCTCGAAGTTTATTAATCTCAGAACGGCATAGCCCAGTCAACTCTCCAGTTTGGGACACTTAATAGCTCCTCAGCAAATGTTGCAATGAGAAGAAAAAAGGCTATTGGCTGCTGGCTGCTCTCTCAGGTGGAAACAAGGTAGAAGACAGGAATAGGGGCAAATCTACCAGCCTTATGCAAAGTGGCTGGTGTTTTCAGGGTTAACCAGAACGTGTCTTATGTTCTGTAAGGACAAGGATGAGGCTTGGGCAGCTTTGGCATTACTGCTGTAATCTGAGGAGTCAGGCTCTCTTTCCCAGCACCCAGGAGTCCTGTCTATCAGATTCCTGCCTACCCATTGATGATTCACTATGTCCGTTCATGTCAATGACGAGGGATCAGTGGTAGTCAGACTTTTATTACTGTGCCAAAATTCTCTAGAGAACAACTTCAGGGGGCAAAGAATGGTTTGGGCTCAGAGTTTCAGAGATTTTTGGTCCATGCTCAGGTGGTGGTGAAGTGGAGCATCCTGGGAAAGTAACACTGGTCACCTCATAGCTACCCGGAGGGAGAGAGAGTAAAGAAGTAGAGAATGGGAGAAGGTATTAGAGACAAGATGTAGCCACCAGGAATATACTCCTTCTCACTTCCCTCCTACTTCCTCCATCTAAGCCCCATTTCCTACAGTTTCCAGACCATCCCAAAATAGTACTACCTGTGGGGGACCAAGTCCTCTTAACACAGAAACTTTTGAGAGACATTTCCTATTGTGGTGGTTTGAATAAGAATGGCTCCTAGAGAGTCATATATTTGAATACTTGGTCCCATTTTGGTGGAAGTGTTTGGAAAGGATTAGGGGGTGTGGCCTTATCAGAGGGGATGTGCCTCTGGGGGTGGGCTTTGAAGTTTCCAAAGCCCACGCCCTTCCCTGTTAGCTCTCTCTGCCTCTCATGTGCAGAAAAGGATGTAAGCCCCTCACTTCTGTTCCAGGGCCATGTCTGCTTGTCTGCTGTCATGCTCTCAGCCATGATGGCTACGGACTCGCCCCAATAAATATTTTTTTCCCTATAAGTTGCCTTAGTCCTAGTGTCTTATCACAGCAATAGAAAGGTAACTAAGAGATGTTGCAAATCAGAACAGCCATGGAGAACTTATGGACAGGAATTCAGAAGTTTCTGTGGAAACACAAAAATTGCCTTTTTCAAAGAGGGGCCAGGTTTTCACGATAGGATTACAGTCCCTCCTTAGAGGCAAGGAGCTGGACTCTGCATGGGCAGAGGCGCTCTGATGATTGGTGATTTCATGTTCTACCCCGGCTTTTGAGCTTCGCCATGAAAGCCACACATAACTATTTTCAATAGCTCTTCTGCCACAAATGCACAGCGTTCTTCTCCTGGCAGCCCCGCCCTCCTAAACAGTCCTCTTTCAGAAGGCAAAGTCCACATCACAGAGAAGAGAGACAATTCACTGAGGGTTAATCTTGCATGGTTTGCACACCACTTTCAGATACTCACTTGCTCATAGTTTAGTTTGCAAGTCCACTTCCTCATACGAGCAATCTGTGATAATGCTGATGTCATACAAATAATCAGACTTCAGCAACGAACCTGGTCTGTCTCAGCAACAGCAATTAAATGTTCTGCACACAGTGAGAGCTCTCTTAAGCACCATTAATATCCCTGTGACAATCACTTAGAGATTAATAATCACCATATTTAGGCCATTTCCCCAAAGCACCAAGAGACTTGGAGACTTCAATAGATTTAATATCTTGAAAAGACTCCACACGGTTGTTGATGGCACAGTACTTTTTCAGGCCTGAGGATTTGGAAGTGTGTAAGTGACTCAATTAGGTGTTGGATTCTCCTTGAGGGAAGTGAGACCAGCACATACCTCCCGCTCCCTTTGCCACAGGCTACCTGTTCCCCCTACTTCCTCCTCTCCAATATCTGGTGGCATCTTAGGGAGCTTGTAAAGTGGAGACAGGGAAATGGGTTACTCTTCCTTGATTTTCCACTGAGAAATTTGCAAGATGTAGTGGTAACCTGGCTGATGAGATAGGGTGAGCTGCTGACTTCCCAGGGTTGCTTCAGATGGCACTCAGCAGGCAGACCCCTGGTTTGTTTTGTTTTATTTCCACCCTGCTGATCTCTGACTCACAGAACGATTCTTCTGATAAAGAGCAGCCTGGAAGCCAATGAAGACTTCCAGACTGGTCAGCCTCTCCATGTAGCAAAGAGGCAAGGAGCTCAGTATTTCCCAGCTTCAGAGGAGGGCTTGAATGGAAATGGTTAAAAGCATTATTTTGTTAGTTGGTGATTCTATTCCCAGTCACAGAACTGACTTTGAGATGAGGCAGAGGGTGGAGTGACCCATTGAGATGTCTGGAAAAGGTTTGAAGGTCAGGATTTAGCACAAGCATGTTTGCCTTGGAGAGTGCCAACTTCAAACCACAGTGTCTAGCGTCATGGGTCTAACTACATCAGGCTACAGGGTAGACAGGCCTGGCCAATTGTTATGCTCCCAGGGAACATTCTGGATGTGAGCCATTTCTGTTGCATATAGACAAGTAACCGAATCCACCTCCAGAATGACTGTGCCCAGGGGAATGGCTGGCTTTAGACATATCTGCACTCAGGCCTTTAGCCTCCCTCCCAGGGATTCTGCCCCCTCCTCCATCTTTCTGGGGATTGTTTTTAAGAGCACTTCTCTAGGGTAGGTTGTTCAAAGCTTGTTCTGAGAAGGACTAGCCCTCTCTTCCAGGTCGTTCCTGAAAAGCGTGTCTGATAGGCCTGCCTGCTGGCTGAGGCTTTCATTGACCACATTTCTTTGGACTGTGTAGTGAAGGGAGGAGCCCTTGAGTGATGCCCTGCCCTCCCAGCACTGTAGGGAGATCTATGTCCTTAGGAAGAGGTGCAGGCAAACCACACGGTGACCAAAGGAAGGCCCCCATGGCTTCCTATACTGTTTTCCCAAGGCACTTGCATGCGGCCTATTCCCAGGCAAGCTAAATAAGCTCCCTATGCCTCAGTTTCCTGGGTGGTGAGTTAGAAAAGGGTAAAACTCTGAGGAGGGGGAAGGACTCAGCCAAGTTCTTAGCACATAACAGGACTTCAGCAAACAGCAAGAACTACAAACGGTGGTTCTGGAGATGACCAAGATGCACAGAATAGGCAGTCTCTTGTTTCCTTGGCATATGGTTTCAAACCCAGAGCATGGCATCCCATACATCTTCAAAGGCCAGGCTCACCCACAGCTTTGGAAGCGCTTACTCATTCGTATCCCAAGTTCTCACAGTCCACAGATGCCTTTATTCAGTTACATAAGTGTAAGCAAAGGAAAGCTCCATGCTTGACCCAGGACAAATGATTACAACCTCTGTTGGGGGGCCTCCCTTGCAAAACCCTGGACTGCCCAATAGACCACAGCCTCCATCCTGGTCTTTTCTCTGTGCGTTCAAGATCGAAACTCCAGCAGCCATTGATGAAGTTATTCTCATTGACACTACACTGTGGCTATGGTGTTATAGATCCAACAGTGACTGGAGTGGATCCAGTTCCTTTTCCAACTATGTGGCTTACTGAGTAAAACTGGTGAGTTTCCTAATCCCCAGATGATCTCAAAGGGTTTTCTGAAGATTGAGTCAGTATACATCAAACACTTAACATAGAGGTGCATGGGTTGAGCTCTACATACATGCTGTAAAAGTCTCATGTGTCACCATTGTTAACCTCCCAAGCTCTTAGAATGTGTATAATATGTTACCCAAGAGAAAGATGGGGGCGGAAAGAGGGGAGAGGTATCATAGATGAACTGCCCAAAGTGAAGGGCTAGCCTCTCCAGGGGCAGTATTGGGCCAGTAATGGGAGAACAGGAGGTAGGAGATAAGAATTCTTTTCTACAAGATGAAAATGATAGAAACTTCACTAAGCATAGTCTCAGGACAACTGGAGGCACTGAAATAAGGATTGTATGTTAGATCCTTTTTGCAGAATTAAATTCATTTGCTTTGATACAACAGTGTCATGAGTCTACTGCGTGGTGTCCCCTCTGAGGAGTTGAATGCTGTAATAATTAGAGGTTGTACTGTGATGTCCGCAACACGTGACTCAATAAACCATAAAACCGTAAGCGAGAAGAAGAAACACATTGAAGAAAATAAGACAGAGTATACAGGCATAATGAAGATGTGGGAAAATGCCAATAAATGTGAAGGACATACAAATACTTTATTTACTCTTCTTTCTTTTCTTTTCCTTTTTGTTTGGTATATTTGAAGAATTTTGTCTTAGAGAAAAGTTTGAGGGGGTTAATGCAGAGTCCAGCTGTGATTTCCCGGCAGACTCTGTTGAGACCCTCATTCCTGACCAAGGTATCTCACCTCCCTTGAGTTGAATTTGCTTATGGTGATAGCAGCCTGTCTCTTCCCCAAAAGGGAATGCTATGACACCATCAGGCAGTTCCCAACAGGTCTTCTCTTTGTAACTTGGGGTCTCTTTTCTTTGTCTCCTTTGCACAGTAATTCAATCAAGCTGGTGAATCTGCTCTCCATATTTATCAGCACGTGGCTGACTGCAGCTGGATTCATCCACTTGGTAAGTAGCCTTGAAGACCCTGCTTTCCTGGCTGGCCTGGAGCAAGCCCTTGCCGAGTCATTTTATTACTTAACATTTGTTTCTTTGAAGACAGACAAGTTTAGTTGTAGATACAGGAAAGAAGGACAAACCACACAATTTTCAGAATTCCCTACCCTTCACTCTCCCACAAACTAGTTCCAAATGGTGAGTTAATGTTCACACAGTCAACCTCTGTTTTCCAGCTTTACCTGTATTGCTTCAAGGAGACTTGCGGGTTTCATCCTGTATGCAATAACCCCAGAAGGCCACAAGATGGCAGTGCTTCCACAGCAAACATCAAGAAAAAGTCTGGCACCAATGCTCCAAGTTTGAACCACACAGTTCTTTGTAAACAGCAAATTTAGATCCCTGATGTGTCCCTACTTCTCTCTCACAGAACGAAGCCTTTGCTTCTCTTGCTTGATGACTTGTCAAGTTGTTTCAACCCCCACCCATGTTATTCTTTTTATTAACAACTCATTGAATGCTATTACTAAGCCCAACCCTTCTCACCGACACCTTCCTCCCCCAGGATGATTTCTCTTGCCTGCTTTCTGAAAGCACAGTTACTACTAAATGCACATTTCATATGTGCATAAACTGTTACAACTAGAGGGAGCCCCATCAGACTATAAAACTTGGAATAAATGACTGTCTCCATCAGCAGCTAAACCAGATAATTGGGGATTTTTTTTTTTTTTTTTTGAGTTTTTCTAGACAGGGTTTCTCTGTGTAGCTTTGCTCCTTTCCTGGGACTCACTTGGTAGTCCAGGCTGGCCTCGAACTCACAGAGATCCGCCTGCCTCTGCCTCCCGAGTGCTGGGATTAAAGGCGTGTGCCACCACTGCCCGGCTTAATTGGGGATTTTTACACAAGGTTTTAAAATATATATATTTATTTTTAATTACATAATTAAACACTGTCTGTGTAGGGATATGTGCACATACATGGGTGTGCCCACGGAGGCAAGAAGAAGGCTTTAAATCTTTAAGTCTAAGGAGCTATAGTTACAGGAGATTGCAAACTGCTTGAAGGAAATGCTGGGAAGTGAACTCCAGGCCTCTGTAAGAGCAATCTATGTTCTTAACCATTGAGCTACCTCTCTGGTCCCAACCCAACTATTTATACTGGTAGCATTCTAGTCAAATCTCACCCTTTATCATCCTAATTCCTGCTGGAGCCAATTGCTGAGAGCAGTCTGCAGATCTAGGGTCAGGTTCCCCAAATCCTGCTGTGACACCTACAACCTGCTGGATTCCAAGCTACACTCACAGGGCTGAGTAGCTGTGCAGACCTCAGGAACTCTGCAGCCCTCGCTGAACCTACTGATGGCCCTTTACTGAGAAAGTCTTCAGGGTGTTTAGTCTAGAGGTTATGTGGATGCAATTCCCAAGTGTTCGCTCTCCTTGTTCTGGAGGAAAGTTCCCAAGCTGGAAGTGCAGAATTGCCAGTGGGCTTCTGCTAAGAAAGCTACTGTAGCCTCAGAGGTGAAGATGATGTTTGGGGTTCAGGCAGAACCTGAGCTGGGTCTGATGTCCTTAGTTAAAATGATGAAAAGGCTGGGCTGTGGTGGTGCATGCCTTTAATCCCAGCACTCGGGAAGCAGAGGCAGGCGGATCTCTGTGAGTTCAAGGCTAGCCTGGGCTACAGAGTGAGTTCCAGAAAAGGCACAAAGCTATACAGAGAAACCCTGCCTCAAAAATAAAATAAAATAAAATAAAATAAAATAAAATGATGAAAAGAAGGATGAAGTCTTTTCTGGAAGGTCTAGGATATCAGCAGGAATCCCCAGGGCAAATGCGGGAAGAGCTTTCTCACACCTTCCTTAAAGGGACTGTTTTAAAGGGGGCCAGAGCATCAGAACTTCGAGACAGGCAGGAAAGCATATCAGGGATGTTTTTTTTCCCATCCCCTCTCCTTGGTGCTCCAGTCAGTCAGAGGGCATACCCTGATGCTATTTCCTCTTCTCTGGTACCAGCTGAGGTTTTCTGGAACATCATGCCTCAGTGACTGGCACAGGGAATCTATCCTGTACTGAGAATAAGAAGCTTAATGCAAAACAACCCTCTGACGCTCTGGACTTCCTGGTCTCCATATATAGTACATGTATTCCTTTCTCTCTCCCACCTCTTCTTGCTGTAGGTGGAGAATTCAGGGGACCCATGGGAAAATTTCCAAAACAACCAGGCACTTACATACTGGGAATGTGTCTACTTACTCATGGTCACAATGTCTACAGTGGGCTACGGGGATGTTTACGCAAAAACCACGCTTGGACGCCTCTTCATGGTCTTCTTCATCCTCGGGGGACTGGTAAAAAAAAAAACCCTCTTTCTTATTATGTCCATTTTAATGGTTATTAATATTTGCTACTACCTACTTCCTTAGGCTTTGTGTTTTTTTATGTGTTTCGCACTGGAAGCAAGTAACTGCCTTAATGCAACCAGGCAAGCTAAATCCAAATACTATAGTGACGTTATGGCGTATTTCTTTAGTGTTATGCTTGTCCCTTAGACCCAGGCATATTGTCCTCATTGGGGACAGCCACATAGCTAGGAACAAGCCTAATTGTTTTAAGAGATGGATGCCATTAATAAATGAGAGTGTCCTTTAGTAGTGGGATTCAGATATATTTGTTGCTGCTGACTCTGGTAGATGCTGTCCAGACTCTGGAGACAGATGGCGGTTTCAAGAGTTCCCTCCCCTTTATGTTCCTCCCCAAACTTCCAACAAACTCTGTGGCTGGCACCTGCTGTAAAGAGCAGGGTCCCCTCACATAGGAAATGTCACTGTAGTCAGAACATGACTACATCCAAAGCCCACTCCTTGAAACTGGCTTTACCGGTCCCTGTGAACCGAGAGGCCACTCACGGCCTATGATGTAATTACAGGGGAATTTCCAGGCAGCACATTGGCACTTGCTGCATTTTGTCCTTCAAAGTGGCTCATAATATGAAGTATGATTTTTTTTCTGTGTATGAGGTAAGTGATTAAGAGTCTAGTCTACAAGCAGCTGCCACATATGTACACCACACACACATTTATATGAAGCCATGCATACATTTCTCTCTGTTCTGTATGCATAGCACATGCACATTTTGAAAATGTATATAAACGTGTGTGGTGGTGGACATTAGCACCATTGCTGCAAGGCCCGTAGGTCAGGAAACCCCGTTATCCAGCCACAGGACAGTCTTTGTTGGGCAAAACATGGCAGTTTCATGTCTCCTTGCTATCCTCTCCTCTTGTATGATTTCCAAAATTGACCTCTTACGCCTTTTAGTCATTTTAAATGAACATGTTTGTTTTGAATCCTCTTTTAGTGTTTGGTGTCTTTATCCACTCATAAAAATATTCTCCTCTGAGTGTTATTTGGAAGGGCTTTTTCTGACAAAAGTGTGTGCATGTGTGTGCATGTGTGTGCGCGTGTGTGTGTGTGTGTGTGTGTGTGTGTGTGTGTGTGTGAGCGCAAGCATGCTTGCATGCCTGAGTGCCTGTGCACATGTGCTTGTGTGCTTCTGTCCATGCCTGGGAGCGCGTGTGTGCATGGGCATTCCTGTGCTTTCAGCAGTCTGCAAGCCTCTTAGCTACTGTCCTTCAGGAAGAAGACATCAGCTCATTGACTCTTGTCTCCTTTATATTTTTCTGGACTGTGAGTTGTTGTCGTTTGCTGCTCCTCTAGGTCGACTCCTGTTTGTTCCATCCTGTGCGTTGCCAGGAGCCCTCCCCTTCGTCCTGTTTTATTTGTCTAATCCAACACGCGAATATGTACCTTCACAGGTCTAATCCTTTTGTGTTTTCAGATCTTAGTACTCCCCCTTCTGAAAAGGTCACCCTTTCTTTGGCCTGTCTTTTTAGTCTCTCTTCTGTCTCCCCTCTTCTCCTTAGGCCATGTTTGCCAGCTACGTCCCTGAAATCATAGAGTTAATAGGAAACCGCAAGAAATACGGGGGCTCCTATAGCGCGGTTAGTGGAAGAAAGTAAGTATGCCAAGAGGTTTCGCGGCCTCCGCAGCCTAGGAGCCTCTCTGCATGCCATTCCTGTTTGGCTCTTGTTTCTTTGTCTCATGCATGTAGGCAATGTTTGCCCGCTACGTGCCCGAAATTGCTGCTCTCATCCTGAATCGGAATAAATTCGGCGGGACTTTTAACAAACATGGAGGCAGAAAGTAAGTCAGTTGTTACCAGAGGAGATGTGCTTGAGTGACTTGAAGAGTCCCTGCGCCTGTGACATTGAATCATGCCCCTCCAACCCCCCACCCACCCAACCCCGCCCACTGCTTTAATGAGGGAGAGTGCACAGTCTGCAACAGCATGGTTTCAGAGCACAGGAGATGATGATTGGACCACCTTGAGGTCTTGTGGCCATCCGCAATTTCCAAGAGATAACAGCGAATATATTTTTTTTTTTTTTGGTTTTTCGATACAGGGTTTCTCTGTGTAGCTTTGCGCCTTTTCCTGGAACTCGCTTGGTAGTCCAGGCTGGCCTCGAACTCACAGAGATCCGCCTGGCTCTGCCTCCCGAGTGCTGGGATTAAAGGCGTGCGCCACCACTGCCCGGCTAACAGCGAATATTTTTAAAGGGGTCCATGTGCACCTGGGACCGTATTTTCCACCCTTATCCTTCACATACAAACCAAGCTCGTTTCCTGAGCTGGTGACATGGTCCCTCCAACCGAGGTAGATTTGGCCCATGTACTAATGTGGCTAGAAGTGTAGCACAGGGCAGGGCCTGGCCCACCTTCCCCCTGGAAAGCCTGTGACCACCAGGAAACTCAGTCTTCCCTGGACCAGTCATCTCCCCACCTTATTGTTAAAGGGTCTCACTGCACCGTGGAAATGCCTCCAGCACACGTTAGCGTTGTGGTGCCGGGGTGCCACAGGCATGTTTGATTTCCCAAATATGAAGGTTTCCTGTTTGGGGAACTATTTCAGTTTGTGCTCAGGTCACTTTATCAGCATCCATAGCAGGGCGTGCGTCCAGGATGGACTAGAATTTTTATTCAGATGCTGATGTCAGGACCTTATTCTCTTGATCCTCTGCCAGAGGGCCATCTCAACGGAGGACTGTTGGTGGGAGGATGGGCTGGCTGCAACTGTCTCCAAAAGTCAATAAATACTTGCTTTGAAAGCTTTCAGAGGGCCATTCAGCTCTGTTTTTATTTCAGGGTATGACATGCGTGGAATGAAATGGCCACACATTCTGCGCACACCTAGATGGATGTGCACTGGCCTACATACCACGCACTGCCATCCACATCTGTATTCACATGTGGGAAACTGTCCCATCCATACCCAGCCCCTGTTCCCATCATGGAGCTCTTTTATCTTGTGACTTATTCTTACTTATTGCCGCATTGTTAGCTTAGTTTGGTGTTTAAGAGAACTAGGACGAGGCCTCTAGGAAATGCCCTCCCCCTGCTCCCCACAGCTGCCCCTCCCAACCTGACAGTTGGCCCTGCTGGATGGCGCTCAGAGAGCTTCTCTATGATTATTGAATCCAATACATCCTGAGCTCAGGTGTCCAGTCCTCTGTTCAGAAAATGAGGAGGTGGAGAAAGGGCTCATTTCCTTGAACTACCCACAGGACAGCAGTTTCCTCTCACAGACACAAAGCACGGAGGGAAAGGAGGCCAGTTGGCATCTCCTCAGGAAGGCAGCACATCTCCCCATCTCCTCCCGTAGGCCGCTCCCCTTCCTATTATCTTAACAGTCCTGGATGAGGTTAGAACCAAGCTGTCCTGATGTCTGGGCCATTGGTTGGTTCCAAAAGGCCAAATAAGCCCAAAGATTCTCCCTCTGTCATTTATCTCAACTCAAGAGGAAAACAGCTTCCTAATTCAGCATGCCTTTGAGATATGGACAGGTCTCTGTCAAGCAGAGGACATCCTGAGAGTCCCAGACCCTCATTATAGCTGCCCCAGCCCCCTGGTCTCAGCCAGCATCTCTTTATCCCTGTCTCCAATGAAGTCAATAAAATCAATGGCTTTGAAATCTAAGTTGAAAGTATTTCTTGACTCTCATTCCAGGTGGGATTTTTTTTGTCTTCTTCTTCTTCAGAACAGTGTTTGTGACCCAATATGGGTGGGCTGTTGGCTGACAGCTTTTGTTGATGGGTGGCCCAAATGAGGCCCTGAGACCAGTACTTAGTGGCCTGTCGTGGTCTGATGTGGTCAGGTTTAAAGTCTGGCATGTCCACTCAAAGCCCTACCTGCTGAGGGCTTCAGATCACAGGGCTCTTCCAGTCCCATTCTGGCTCTGTAATAGCTTATCACTGCTTTTGGCCTGGTTCCTCTCCCCTCACCCCTATTTCTTGTCCCTTTATGAAAATGCATTTTGCTTTTAATGTTCCCTGTTGGGTCTCCAATGTCCCCAGCCCCTGCGGGATATAGGGTATGTCCTGTCATCAACACTGGGGCCGTTCCCTTTACTTTATGCATTGTTTCCTGGTTCAAAAGCTAATTACCAAGTAGTTTAAAGAAGCCCTTGGTCACTTAGATCTTTCATCAGAAAATATAAGCTTGGGAAAGGAACGGTAATAAAGGGCCATTAGCACCCCTTTGTTTGATGTTGTTTTTCCAGTCAGTAGAACAAGATTGATGAAATGTTATGTTTGGCCAAAATTTGAGTTTTCATTTGGAATTCAGTGTTGAGAGAATGGGCTGTCAGAATCAATAAGTTTCCTTTCGCTTGGGATATGGGCATGTGGTAGTAATTAGCAATATAAGGTCTTTACTTGAGCAACGAAGCATGGATTCTGGCAGCAAACATAATGAGAAACTACAGTTGTTCTATTTCGAACGTCAAAAAGTTTCCAGATAAAATTAAATGCATTTGCAAGAGGAAAGGGGCTTAACTTTGTTGAGAGCTGGAGTTTCGACTCTTAAAATAGCAGGCAGCACTTTGAGCTTGTGTGCACGCAGAAATGCGGGTGCTATCCCCATCCACTCGTGTACATGCTGCTCCCCAGGACCGAATTCAGCCAATGCCTAGAAAATGACTGAAATGTAGACATAGTCAAGAGATCTTTGGGTATGTGCATATTTTATTCAGAAGTAACCACTCGTAACACTGCATTAACTTGTCAGACAACTGAAAGTAACTTCTGACACCAAACTACAGGGACCCCAAAATCTGAAATCCAAAAAGATTATTCAGAATAAAAAGATAAGCATCTTTATTTAAGTAATTATATTAAGTAATTATATTAAGTAAATATATTTATTTAAGAAATAAATAAATGGAGAAACTTAGGGCTTGGAGGATACAATAGCCACAAGTAGGATATTGGAGAATGTAGAGGTTTCCTTGGTGCTTCCTTGTGAGTTTTATTCAGTGTGTGTGGTACAATATAATATTTGCTGTTGCGTTCGCAAAACTTCCTCCCCATCTCCATGGATTCAAGGGCCTGGCAAGGCCTTTTCACTAGTCATCACGCCCCCAGCTCATCCATCCCAGCACTAGGTAGGGATACTCATAAATGTACCAGCTATCACGTAACTTATTCAGGATTCCTAAGACTAGAGACTTGAGTGTTAACCACTGAAGGGTTCAATCAGTGACCAAGAAAGTTATCCAAGTTGGGAACACTGGGGACAATTAGCTTCTGGGATTGAGACTCTAAATCTTATTCAGTGTAGTGGCCCTCCTGCAGCCTAGCTTGCCTCCCCAAGGCCTTTGACTCAGCCTCCTTCCCTTCATGTCCAATGGAAGCAGCTCAGAGGTGGTGGAGGCGTGGGGGACACTGAGACTCCCATGGCCTTGGGGTCCCTGGTTTACTGTCTCTCTCCCTCCCACAGCCTCTTGCAGTTTCCCCCAGAGGTTTCCTCTCTGAGTGTAATTCATTCTACTGCTGGTTAGTTTATGAGAACTGACAAGATCACGGTCCAAGGTCATATGGCCAAGGGCCATGGAAAATAATTGGCCACAGAGAGGAATCCGTCAGCTGTAACCCCTGGATGGAGACAGCACAGCTGGAGAGCCATCCAGGCAGGCCTTGTATTTCCCATGATGTGGCTTTAGTGGCCCCAAAATGAGGTAGTTGTGGCCCAGGTGTTTGGGAGAGAGAGACAGAACAGGATGGGTTTAGAGGGCTCCACAGATTTTTGGTAGCCAAGTGCTGAGAGAACATGTGGAGAGGAAGGAATAATAAAAGACAGGGGATGGACAAAAGGAGAGCAGGAAATTGAATGTAATTAGCCTGGAAGAAAAATCTCGATGGTGACATCCCCATTCTAGAGTAGGGTGCAGTTATTACAGTCAAACCCATACCTTGCTCCAATACAAGAAAGCCATGTCTGCCCCCTCAGTGCTAAGAGTTTTATTGGGCAAATTTTGGCATCTGTAAGTTGGACCATCATGAGGTCTTGAGACCAGGTATGATTTCTGGGAGGTAACAGTACACTTGGGACCGTATTTTCTCCCCTCATCTGGACCTAGTGCTCCAAGGATTCAGAGAATAACTCCATCTCCTCCACCGTCTCCAACTCGCCTGGTCATTGCTCTCCGCCCAGGAGGCTCGGGCTGTATGTATCTCCTGGTTTCTTATGATTGGGTCCTAGTTTAGCTGTGTCTCTGCCCTTCTTGCTCAGGTGCTTTCTCCCTTTCTGAGACTCTGCTTTGTGCCTACTTACTACTTGGATCTGCTTACTTACTACATAGGCTCCCCCCTCTGTCTTCTCCCTACCTTCATGTTTAGCCACAGTGGTGCCAGGCCATTTTTTTTAAGAGCTGGGCATTGACAAGGCATTTGAAATGTACCCCCTCTGTGGCCCACCCTAGCCCTAAAGAGAGTCACCATGTGTCATTCCTTGGTGTTTATTTGTTTCACATGTGTTCATTGAGTGCCTGCTCCTCTGTGCCCATGGTGTGTGTGTGTGTGTGGGGGGGGGTGCACAAGAGATTCATCCCAGCACACTCATTAAATCCTCCAGTGGTCCCAGGGCTCTCTTGCTCTCTCTTGAGCTCCATGCTATCTGGCC